TCCCGAGTAGCTGGGACTACAGGCACCCTCCACCATGCCCGGCTAATTTTTTGTATTTTTAGTAGAGACGGGGTTTCACCATGCTAGCCAGGATGGTCTCCATCTCCTGACCTCGTGATCCACCTGCCTCAGCCTCCCAAAGTGCTGGGATTACAAGCGTGAGCCACCACACCAGGCTGAACTTCTAATAAAAATGGAAATGTTTATATTGCTGTATATGAATCTCTCTTTTCTCTGCATGTATTTAGGCTGTGGCTTCAAGTTGTTGGTCGGTGCTGAAACAGAAAAGACAACAGATGAAGGTAAAATTCATTAAGACCTGAATTCCTTTGTTAAATCATTTAAGGATTCTGTCAAAGAAGCTTCTGAGTCACTTCTCTGGTGGGAATTGGCAGCTGTAGGAGGGGTAGGAGGGACTGTCCCTCAGGCTAGATGAGTGACTTACTGGTGGTGGGTTGGCTTCTTTTTTGAAGGCCTTCTTTCTCATCCTTAATATTTGATGTAGTTTCATATAGCAGTTATTGAGGCGTGCGTGGTATTTCAGCTAACTGGGAGAGGGGTTTAAAGTTGGAAACAGCTCTGATAAGTTTTAGGTTTTTGTTTTTTCTCTTAATATTATTATTATTATTATTATTATTATTATTATTTTTAAGACAGTCTGTTTCTGTCACCCTGGCTGGAGTGCAGTGGTGTGATCCTGGCTCACTGCAACCTTCGCCTTTCAAGTGATTCTCCTGCCTCAGCCTCCCGAGTAGCTGGGACTATAGGCGCCCGCCACCCCACCCAGCTAATTTTTGTATTTTTAGTAGAGACCAGGTTTCACCATGTTGGCCAGGCTGGTCTCAAACTTCTGACCTCAAGTGATCTGCCTGCCTCAGCCTCCCAAAGTGCTGGGATTACAGGCGTGAGCCACTGCACCTGGCCAGTATTTTTTACAGTTCTTTAATATAGTGGATTCCACTTAATTTAATCCAATTAAGAAATAAAGATTTGATTCTAATAGCTGCTTTATTCAATTTGGAGCCCCTACAAATAAAAAGTCTTAGAGTTTGTATCCTGCCTCCATGCCTCACACCCTGTAACCTGTCTTACCTGCTAAGCATTGTTTTTCTCATACATTCCTAGTAGTAAAGGGCAAGGACTCTCAAGTGAGACTGTTGGGTTCAAATGCCACATACTAGCTATGTGACCTTAGGCAAGTTGCTTACCCTCTCTATGCCTCAGTTTCCTCATCTCTAAGAATAGTAATAGTATCTACCTCATAGTGTTTTGTTTTGTTTTGTTTTAGAGATAGGGTCTTGGTCTGTCATTCAGGCTGGAGTGCAGTGGCATGATCATAGCTCACTGCAGCCTCTAACTCCTGGGCTTAAGCAATCTTCCTGCCTCATCCTCCCTGAGTTGCTACGACTACAGGTGCACAGCACCATGCCTGGCTGATTTTTTATTTTTTATTTTTTTACAGATGGGGTCTTGCTATGTTGCCCAGGCTGGCCTCTAACTCCTGGCCTCAAGTGATCTTCCAGTCTCGGCCTCCCAAAGTGTTGGGATTACAGGCGTGAGCCACTGTGCCTAGCCCTCATAGGGTTTTTGAAGATTAAATATGAAGTGCTTAGAACAGTGCTTGGCATAGTGTAGTAAACAAGTATTGACAATTACAACATTATTATTTGCCCAAGGATATACAGTATTTTATCACATCCATATTTTCCAATCTTATAACTTTGAGACAGTATTGCCAGTTGCAGTGATTTTAAAGTATGGTCCTCACAGCATCTTCAGAATGTGCTGTTAGAAATGATTCTGGAGCCCCATATTTGGATAATTCTTATTTAAAATGATTCCAGAGACCCATATTTTAAGCAAGTTTCCTTAATGATGATGATGAACTCTAACGTTAGGACTAGGAACAGACTTGTAGATGTGGGTTTGATTCTCACACTAACTAGCATGATTACAGTAAGTTACTGACCATCAGCTGACCCTCAGTTTTCCCATGTGCAAAACGGTGTTAATGCCTACTTAATAGGACTGTGGTAAGGATGAAAGCAATATCAACCAGCTTAATTTAAACATTAAACATTTAAAGAGTTTAGTAAGTGGTAGTTATAATAATAATGATATTATTAACATGTCTAACTTTATTTTTCTACTACTTAGAATAAATATTGTACTTTTTTTTCTTTTTGAGACAGAGTCACTCTGTCGCCCAGGCTGGAGTGCAGTGGCACGATCTCAGCTCGCTACAACCTCCACCTTCCAGGTTCAAGCGATTCTTCTGCCTCAGCCTCTCAAGTAGCTGGGATTACAGGCGCCCGCCACCATGCCTGGTTAATTTGTATATTTTTGATAGAGATGGGGTTTCATCATGTTGGCCAGGCAAGTCTCAAACTCCCGACCTCAAGTCATCCACCTGCCTTGGCCTCCCAAAGTGCTGGGATTTCAGGCCTGAGCCAGTGTGCCCGACCTAAGTCTACTTTCTATATCCATAGATACCTATATGTCTCACCTCTTGGGAACTATCTCCTATACCTGAAATGCCAAATTCCCTCTGTACTAAAATAAATCTTACCCATCATTGAGCTCAGCTCACATAATTCCTTGCTAAAGTTTATCTAGTCTGCTTCAGCCCACACTAAGTTCCCACTTCTCTGACCTCATAATACACTTCAAGTCTGTATGGTATTTAGAACTTTACTATATGTAGAACATAACTTTTTGGCCCTCACTAACTAGCTGTGTGTGAATTAGGGCAGTTTATTTAACCCCTCTCCAATATCACTTTTCACATGTTTAAAATGATGTTAACATGACATACTTTTGAAGGAATGTTTTAGTAAATTAAATAGAAACTAGCACATTTTCTAGAATATAATGGGTACTCATTAAGTGGTAACTGCTGCTATCTTATGTTTTAAAAATGAGGTTTAGGCCCGGCACAGTGGCTCTTGCATGTAATCCTAGCACTTTGGGAGGCCAGAGTGGGTGGATCACCTGAAGTCAGAGTTCGAGACCAGCCTGGCCAACATGGCGAAACCCCGTCTCTACTAAAAATACAAAAATTAGCTGGACATGGTGGTGCACGCTTGTAATCCCAGCTACTTAGGAGGCTGAGGCAGGAGAATTGCTTGAACCTGGGAGGCAGAGGTTGCAGTGAGCCAAGATGGTGCCACTGCACTCCAGCCTGGGTGACAGAGTGAGACTCCATCTCAGAAAAAAAAAAGAAAAGAAAATGAGGTTTAGAAGATTGTCTTGGAGACTGTAAAATAGAAAATAACCCCCCCAGGAGACAGAATCTTAAGGCGTAGTTTTCTCTCGTCAGTGCTGTATAACAAATCCCACAGTGTGTTACTTAACAAGGGAAATTCAAAAAGTTATAAATATAAACTTAGAGTTTCCTAAAACACAGCTATATGAAGTGATACTTCACAGGAAGAGGCAATTACACAATTAAATACTTAAATGATATAGGGTTCCTTAATTAAAAGTTAGGATTCTAGTAAGAGTAGCTTAATCATTTTACTAGTTGTTGTTGTTGTTGTTTGTCAGTTAATATAATTAAGTGATTGAGTTGGGCTTTTAATAGCTAAAACTATGATAGTCTTATCATAAAACTTATACAACTAAGGAACACTGTAGCATTCTTGTTATTGCCTGGTTGCAAAGCTGATATGATTGCCTTTTTTTTTTTTTGAGACAGAGTCTTACTTTGTCACCCAGGCTGGAGTACAGTGGTATTATCTTGGCTCACTGCACCCTCCAACTCCTGGGCTCAAATGATCCTCCCACCTCAGCCTCCTAAGTAGCTGGGACTATAGGTACATACCACCACTCACGCCTGGCTAACTTTTGTATTTTTTGCAAAGACAAGATTTCACCATGTTGTCCAGGCTGGTCTCGAACTCCTAGGGTCAAGTGATCCACCTGCCTTGGCCTCCCAAAAGTATTGGGATTATAGGCATGAGCCACCATGCCTGGCTGGATGGCTTTTTTATGAAGCATTTTTATGAGGTAAAAACAACTTTTAAGGGCGGGATATGGCAGCTCATGCCTGTAATCCCAGCACTTTGGGAGGCCAAGTAGGGAGGATTGCTTGAGCCCAGGAGTTCAAGACCAGCCTGAGCAATA